GCCCACCAACACGCGCAGGCTCACGTTGGCGCTGAGCGCGGGCGAGCCCTGGTCGCGGGCCTGCAGCGTCAGCTCGAAGGCGCGCAGCTGCTCGTAGTCGAAGGCGCGCTGCGCGAACACCACTCCGCTCTGCGCGTTCACGGACACGTAAGACGTTAGCTCCCTCGTCTCCAGGTCACTGGCCACAATGGAGTAGAAGACGCAGCCATTGGACCCCAAGTCAGGGTCATAGGCAATGACTTGAGCGATGGAGACTCCAGGAGGATTGTTCTCCGCCAGGTGGACCACGTAGGACTCCTGGTGGAAAACCGGAGCGTTGTCATTAACATCTCCAATGTGTAGGGTGACGCAAGTACTGGAGGAGAGAGGCGGTTTGCCCCTGTCTGTGGCAGTGATGGTGACATTGTACTCTGTAGTGTGTTCCCGGTCCAGGGCCCCATCTGTTACAAGCTTGTAGTAATTATTGGAGGAAGATTCAATTCTAAAAGGAACTTTTTCTTTTATGACGCATGTGACCTCCCCATTTTCTCCTGAATCTTTATCATGTGTTTTGAATAGAGCGATCACAGTTCCAGGTTCTGCATCCTCGGTTATGGAACTGGTCACGGAAGTAAAAACCACATCTGGGGTGTTGTCATTCTCATCTAGAATTTCTAGTATAATTTTACATTCGCTGGTCATGCCTCCACCATCCCTGGCTTCTATGTTCATGGTATAACTTTTACTGGTTTCGAAATCTATAGGGCCTTTGGATTTAATTTCTCCGTTTTGATGGTCTAGCATAAAAATATTTCCAGTATCATCTCGTAGCGATTTGAATGAGTAGGTTATTTCTGCATTGACACCTTCGTCCTGGTCGGTGGCTGTCACCTTTAGCACAGAGGTGCCTGGGGGCAAGTTCTCTCTAAGGCTGACTTTGTACATATCATGGCTGAACACCGGGGCATTATCGTTGGCATCAGTGACCTTTATTTGAATTGCAGCAGTGCCAGTTAGGACCGGGTCGCCCCCGTCCACCGCTGTCAGGACCAGGAGATGGGAGCTCTGTTGTTCCCGGTCCAGGGGCTTCGTCAACACTAATTCTGGGGCATTCTTGTCTTCAGTCTTGCCCTTCATCATCAGAGAGAAATGCTCACTAGAGCTGAGTTGGTAACTCTGGACAGAGTGAGGCCCTACATCTGCATCTATAGCAGATTCCAGGCCAAACCGAGTGCCTGGCATTGCAAGTTCATTGATTTGTAAAACAATGTTATTTTGGGGGAAATGAGGTGGATTATCGTTTATATCTTCTATCATCACGTTTATGTGAAAAACATTTAGGGGATTCTGTGCTACAATTTCTAAGGGTACAACGCACAGAGGATTTTGTAGACAGAGCGACTCCCGATCAATTCTGTCACTCACAAGTATGTTCCCACTCTCCATGTTCACGGTAAAGTATTGTTTCTCTGCACTAACTCTGAGGTTGCGGGTCAATAAATCCCGAACATGCAGCCCCAGGTCCTCAGCGAGGTTCCCCACCACCGAGCCCTTGGCCATTTCTTCGGGAATAGAGTATCGGATCTGCTCCGAGAGAGCCCCGCAGAACAAAGGCAGCAGGAAGGGAAAGAGTACTTGCCGCCGCCGGGTCCTGCTCCACTGCTTCGCTCTATTTCCCATTCTTCACTTGCGTTGCTGCAGCCTCCGGCGTTAAAAGAAAAAGGCTTCACAAATTACTTTAAAAATATTTACTTTCACGCGCAGAAGACACAATGCTCCCGGTTTGAGGGCGTCCGGATCCGTACAGAATCAGATTTGCCGAGCAGAAAGCCTGGGTCCGGGCCACTCTTCTTTCTGACTTGCTTGTGTGACTGCGCAGAATATCACCGGGAGTAGATCGCGGGCTCCAGCTCTTGCAGCTCATTGGCCAACAGCGGCACTCTGAGTCGATTTAGAAAACTGCAGTCAGAAGCCTTTGCAAATTCAATGGGATTCAGTATTCCCACAGATAAGTTGGAGTAGTGTATAGGGAATTGGGCATTTTATGAGTTTTGGATGTGTTCATTTTCCAGTGTTTACTACCTAAGAAGGTTCCTTAGAGATGGGATCCTATAGAAGAGCCATCAACCCACTAATAAGAAATTTAAAAATTTGTCTTTTTAAAATCAGAGGCAATGTACATATTGGAAGAAGCAGGCAAAGTCTTCTCTCCAGATGTAGAACAAAGACCACGTGAGAAAAAGCCCCACCAAGTGGTTTGGGAAAATTTTGACAGTCACGAAAGGACGCCCAGTATTATCTTCAATCTGATGTACAGATAATTTTCCCTCTCTTTTCATTGGAGGAAACTGAAGGAACACTCAAAGCTATATAGGGCATGCTCAGAATAAAGATGGCCAATACTATAAAAATCTTCCTCGTTACTTATAATAGAGATTCACGAAAAGGATTATTAAGTGTTTTATACTGTCATCATAAAGAGAATATAAAGGTATAGCCTAGTAGGTTGCCACAGGAATTTAATGAAATGTTGAGAGCATTTTATTTTTATCCTCTATTTAACTGGACTATAGGTTACAACTTAAGAGAACTTTATCACTACCTCTGAATCAAAAATAACCTTCTTAATCTCAAGTTTCAAAGCCAACCCTTCCTTTTTGTTCTCCAAGATCCTGGTTGAGAGCTCCTAATAAGTTTAGACTGTTTAAAAATATGGAACAATCTCCCTTCCCTAGCCAAAAACCTCACATCCTTTTTATTCACCTAATTCCATTTCAAGTATAATTCCTTAAATGTTTTTTCTCAGTTTGGAATTCCATAAGCATAAAACCTATCCCTAGGTGCTCAAAACACTTAACATTTTTCTCTACTTCAAGAAAAATTTAGGCATCTGTTGGAAGACTTCCCTTTACTACAATTGAAATTCTTTTTGCCCACGTACTATTATAGATACTCAGTTTACAGTAAATTACATTACAGTCAATCCCTAAATGAGAAACAAACTTGAAAGGGAGCATAAATATGCAAGTAATTTGGGCTAAATATCTAGAAGTGATGTGAGAGTGTTGAGTTAAACTGATTATGAAAATGATTCCTATGACCAAAAACCCTAGATAAGTCTCCTTTCCTCACTTGGCTTTCCTAGACATTGCTTCAGATAACATGTTTGTCCTTGGGTAACTATCAAGGCTTCAATAACCAGTTGGTTCTGAATACAAGAATTGAGTATACTTTTTGCAATACAAAATCAGCTTTTAAAGGAAAAAAAGGAGGAATCAATGACTCTCAGGTATATTGAAAATGAACAAAAAATACTCAGAGGAATACCTGCTGAATCAATCTCTTATAAAATCTAAATACCCACCCCCATCTTTTATATTCTCAAACTATTATATGTAAATAAACCTGAAAAATAATCAGTATCTTAAACAGATTTGAAAATAACTTTTGAGAAGCCACTGAGTCAAAATTATTTCTATATGTGAATTCACTACATTTAAAAATCTTCCACACATACACACACAGACATTAAAGTAAAAGATTAAAGGAAACAATACCAGTTCAATGATTCAATTATTTCTTCAGAACAACCTATTGGCTTCATTGTAGTAATGGGAAAGATATCTAGAACTTAAGAAAAAAATGTGATCTACATTTCCTTGCCCAAGAAATTTCAGTAATCAAAAGCCAGTCAGTATGTCTGTTTTGATAAGACGAAGAAACAAGGCAAAGTTGAAACAGTCAACAAGATATTAACATATTACCAGCCATCTAGAACAAAATAGTATTGTTTCATGCTCAGAGAAAAGCTTATATGTATGTGCGCATGTATATAGATAAGAGAGCCAGAAGGAGCGTGCTATTAAATCAACAGAGTCAAATTTGAACATTAGAAATAATAGGAAATAATGGTGAAATATAACTACAAATCAGTGGCTGCACTGCAAAATTGAAATATGGAAAGAAAATTGTGAATTATTCATTTGTATCATAATGTGTAACATAAATTGAGAGCCTCAAACACTGACAATAGAAAAATAATACTAAAATTCAACGTACTACAAACCAAGCCAAGATAGTTGAACTTGTCCTTTAAAGTCAAAAGAAAACATGCCAGCCCTAAAAAAAAGACTTTCATTCTGAAAAATGGATGAAAGGTAAAGAACACCAACTCATGTATGTAAAGAACACCAACTCATGTATTAATATTTCTCTAAATATGTATGAACTAAATATACCTCCTCAAACAGGCTCAAAAAAAAAAAGCCACTTACAAGACTTGTGCAAGAAGCCAACGACTGGGGAGTTAGAGAAATAAATCTCACCTGATTACTTGTTGAGTCACCTTTGCCTAAAACAGTAGCTGAGTCTTCAGCTATCAAGAGTGGCTCCCTTTTCTCATAGCTTTCCTGGCTGATGAGCGTGTCCGCATAGTTGGGCTGGGGGAAGATCAGATGACTCTTCCGCGAGTCCGTGGTGAGGGAGACCTCCTGAGTATAGGTCTGCAGGAAGGCCCGAACCCCGTCCACGCCCACAAGGTGTGAGGTGGGCACGCCTGCCAGCACGCCTCCGGAAGCCTGCAGCAGGCGTGATTTGTGCCAGCGATGCAGCCTGAAAGCCAGCAGCACGATGACAAAGGCCAGAAAGACACAGGAGACCGCTGCGACAGCCACGACTAGGTATAGCGTGAGGCCTGAGTCGTCTGGATTGGCGGGAGACTCCAGGGTGTCGAGATCGGCCAGGATGTCTGGGATGTTGTCGGCCACAGCCACAGTGAGCGTGACGGTGGCCGAGAGAGGGGGCTGGCCATGGTCCTGGACGGCCACCACGAGGCTCTGCTTGAGTGCGTCTCTGTCCAACAAGGCCCGCGCCGTGCGCACCTCGCCTGTGTGCAGCCCCACCGAGAAGAGCCCAGGCTCACTGGCCTTGAGCAGGTGGTAGGACAGCCAGGCGTTCTGGCCTGAGTCTCTGTCCACTGCCACCACCTTGGTCACCAGATAGCCAGGCTCTGCAGAGCGGGGTGCCAGCTCCACACCGGTGGAGCCATCAGTGGGGAGGACGGGGTATAGGATCTCGGGCACATTGTCGTTCTGGTCCAGCACGAACAGGCTCAGTGACACGTTACTGCTGAGGGGTGGATCTCCACTGTCACTTGCTGTCACTGTCAATTGTAGGTTGTGAAACTGCTCATAGTCAAAGGATCGCAGAGCATACAGGACACCGGTGTCGGAGTTAATAGAGACATAGGAGGAGAGAGGTGCCCCTTGGAGGGTGTCCTCTGTTAGAAAGTACGTGACCTGGGCATTCTCTTTGCTGTCTGGGTCCAAGGCAGTCATGGAGAAGATGGAGGCACCTCTGGGGTTGTTTTCGGGAATGTAGGCGGAGTAAGAGGAGTGAGTGAAAATGGGAGGGTTATCATTGTCATCTGCCACATTCAAAGAGATGTGAATTTCTGTAGACAAGGGCGGACTTCCCTGGTCTGTGGCTGTCAACGTTATATTGTAGCTCTGGACCAGCTCCCTGTCCAGCACTCTGTTTGTTATCAACTTGTAATAATTTCCATAAGTCTTTTCTAATTTAAAAGGTAAATGGTTAGGAATAAAACAGGAGACCTGACCATTTTCTCCAGAATCTTGATCTTGCACATTTAGAAGAGCAATCACTGTACCTGGAGGAGAGTTTTCTGGAATTGAATCAATAGAAGAGGTGATAGTGATTTCCGGAGCATTATCATTCACATCTACAACTGTGACCAAAATCTTAGCGGTGTTCAAAAGACCACCGCCATCTCGGCCTTGAATTTCCATCTCATAGAATCTATATTTTTCAAAATCCAGAGACCCCTGTACCAGAACTTCTCCAGTTCGGGAATCCAACTCGAATATTTCAGAAGCTTTGCTTTCCATATTCCGAAATGAATACATCACTTCCCCATTGATTCCCTCGTCTGGGTCCGTTGCATTTACCACCAGCACCCGAGTTCCAGAGCTGAGGTTTTCTGGAACACTCACGCGATATGCAGACTGAGTGAACTTTGGGATGTGGTCATTTACATCGAGGACCACCACGCGAATGGGAACAGAGCCCTTGCGGATGGGTTCTCCTCCATCTAAAGCTGTGAGGAGGAGGAGGTGAGCAGCCTCTTTCTCTCGGTCCAGGCTTCCCTCCAGCACTAGCTCGGGATTCTTGGCCCCATCAGTTCCGCCTCGCACTTGCAAGGAAAAGTAACTATTAGGGCTGAGCTGGTAGCTCTGGAGGGAGTTCACTCCCACATCTGGGTCCCTAGCGCTAGGAAGGGGAAATCGCGACCCAGGAGTTGCCTGTTCACTAACTGTTACCTCTACTTCCTTTTCCTGGAAGCTGGGAGCGTTATCATTAATATCCATTATTTCCACCTCCACTCCGTAAATCTTCAAGGTGTCTGCCACAAGAATGTCCATATTTAAAACACAGGAGGACACCGTCTCACAGAGCTCCTCCCGGTCTATCCTACCCGCAGTGACCAAGCTGCCGCCTCGCGGATTCAGAGCGAAAAGCTGTGTCTTCCCTCTAGAGACGATGCGGACTCCGCGCTCCGTTAGCTCCCGGGGCTCCAACCCCAGGTCTTTGGCTACGTTACCCACAAAGGAGCCTTTGTCGGTCTCTTCGGGCACCAAGTATCGGATCTGCCCTGCCCCGAACTCCCGCAGCGTCCCCAGGAAAATGCACAGCACGACCAGCCTGCTTCGGTCCAGAAGCTGTAGCCGAGTCGCCATGGCAGGGTCTGAGCCGATATTCCGCGGTTTCTTGAGCCGGTTCTGAATCGGCTTAGGTAGCTATAAAGCCCCGGGCCGTCCGCAACCAAGATATATCAGAAAGCGAAGGAAGTACTTTTTAGGTTTCCAGCATCAGGATCTGTGAGTATC